ACGACTTAACCCGACTACCCTGTAGCTTGAATTCCAAAGTCTCCAAACCATGTTAGTTTCATTTTTGAGGCCCTGCTTTGACGAGTCCCGTGTCGCAGTGTTTTTGACCAACAACACGCGCCGCACCCTCAGACAAAACGAGGCGTGCTGACCTAGTGGTAGCAGTCGTAGCAGTAGAAATAGTAGTGGTAGCAGTACTAGTGGTGGTAGTAGTAGTAGTAGTAGTAGTAGTAGCAGTAGTAGTAGTAGTAATAGTAGTCGTAGCAGCAGCAGCAGCAGCGGCAGCGGCAGCCACTTTGGTGGTCATGGCCGGTGCTTGTTCTTTTGCTTCTTCTTCTTCTTCTTGTACCCGGCGCGGCTCTTCAGCAACAACCATCACGCACAGAGCCCTTTGTCCAGAGACTGAAACACGTCAGCGCACCTGGCTCTGCATGGCCATCCCGTCTGCTGCCACCTAAAGTAGCAGTTTTACCACTGCTTTTCCACTCTATTAAATGACCTCCATCATGTTCGAAAATCATGCTGCTTCTGCTCTTATTGCCGCTCTGCGGCACTTGCTGCTCGTGACTATGGCCATGATGACTGTCTGCTGGCAGCTAGCAAACAAACGTCTATCCTGCTTACACACTTTCTCCTGGCAAGCCTGACCTGCAAGCTGTTCTTCGTATATGTCAGTTTACCTCCCCAACTGCGGCCTGAGCCTTCGGCTGTTTCAGGCTTGGCCTCGGTGTCAGAGCCGCTGTCTGTGCCAGCCTGCCAGCTTGAGGCATCTTCGCTCTGAGAGAGCTGGAGCCATTGTAGCACTGCAGGGCATGCACCTTGCAAGGCCTCGGAGGCAAGCAGAGTCGAAGTAGAGTATGCAGCAGTGGCTGGGATGCTTAGGAAGGCTTGAGACAGAGGCTGTAGAACCGTTTTGCTGTCCCCTCCTTGCCTCCTGCCAGGCATCAAGAGCCCGTTGCAGCTCCAGATCCGCAGCCTCAGTTCTGTATGGATTGTGATGGAGAGACCTCTAAAATTGTGGGTTAAAAGCTGCAGAATTGAGAGCCAGTTGGGGGTTCCGCAGTGAGACTTGCAACATCTTGTCATGGCACGTCTGGTAGGCTTTGCATGTCAAGCAAATCTTGAGTCGGTCCAGCCTTCGAATCCTCCCCGGCCGTGATATCCGTTTCCTCAAAGAGGTGCGAAGGGTTGCGCTGAGGGCGACAGACTATGCAGGCTCCGGTCGCGGCAAGCAGGTCCCCCACCAAATGCAGCATGCGGCATGCCTGCCGTCAAGACCCCTCACAATGCGGCGCCTCTTTCGTGGGCGTGGCATCTTCTGGAAAATCGGCAGCATCGGGGCTGTCCTCGGCATGGTCCTGCTCTTCTGCATCCACCTCTCGCAGGTCTTCTTGACATGCATCAACAATTCCTGAGGTTTGGAGATGACTTCGTGGAGCTGTCAAGGTAGTTGACAAGTTGAGGTAGGTTGCATGATCAGCCTTGCCCTGCCATCCTGTACCGACAATTCATGGAACCCTGGAAGAAAGTAAGCAAAGACCTGAACAAGTCATGGGGTGAGGTCTTCTTGCAACTCAGGAAAACGTGCAGAGGGATTGGTGCTCTCCTCAGGACGTGTCACTGCACCCTCGGCCTGCTCCAAGCTGTTATGAGGCAGCTCGGGATTCTCTGGGCGAGTCACCTGTGGGAACATCGTTGGGCATCAGCACGGAGAAGGCACTTTGTTAGCTTTCTAAATATGCTGCCTGAGAACATGATTTAATGAGGACTGATGACGTACAAAGATATCCTCAGAAACTTGCAACCCCGAACGGATTCTCTGTGGCCTCCAAGTCAGGTAGGGGCTGCACCCGCTTGACCCAGGTGCTTCCGACAGCGTCTTTGACCTGGTCGGGAAGGCGTTGCGATGTTGTGAACTCCAACAGCTTCAGCTAGCCTGCAGCGTGGACGTCTGCAATGCTTCGAGCACGTCCTAGGAAGCCCCGCGTCGCAGCTGTTTCCATGATTGTTAAAGTTTGGCAGGTAGCAGCTGACCCTTGAGCCTATGAGTTCTGGAGCACACCATCGCTTGTGGGCGGGTGTCCTGCTCAGAAGCGCGGTGCACGTCCGCAATGCGGGGGCAAGACCTTAATCAAGCTCCAGGTTGATGGTTGGCAAAACCACTGCAGATCTTGTGGTTATATGGGAGTTATATTGTGGCTATCTTGTGGTTCTATTGGGATTATATTGGGATCATATTGGGATTATGTATATATAGGTCATATTGGGGTTATGTTGGGGTTATATCGTGGTTATATTGGGGTTATATTGGAATAATGGAAAATGCAAGTGGAAACTACTATAATTGGAGCTCTGACAATGATGCCGACCTCAGATGAGCGCAAACGTTTCAGGCCCTCTTGTCAGCTCTTCTTGCCTAGGCACATGATCCAGCGAAGTTCTAGCCACCCTGGCTCAGGTTCGGCAGCAATCTTCTCCTGGAAGAACCAGTCCCTCTTCAAGTTGATGTCCTCAAAGATAAAAGGCCAAATGGCAACGTAATATGCGTTGTTTCAATGATTCTGGCTTTGTCTACAAGCGTATCAGGGTTGGGTTGGTTTGGTCAACTGCTGCCGAGGCATGAGGTTCCCCAGATCTGAAGCCTATGCCTGGGTAGGTGGTCGCATTGGCACGCAATTTTGGAGGAGTTTGGCTCTCAGCGCTGCTTAGAATCCATAAGGCTGAGAACTTGATTTTAACAGCAGCTCAATGCGACGTTGGCCATGCTCCCGTGACACTGGCAGATGCAAAGTTCACAAATCTGCGCTTCAGATGGTGTTGGGCTACATCAAGGACTTGGCTTTGACGAAACTCACACTCAAAGAAGACAAGCTTCCGAAAAGTAGTACTCCACCTGCCGCCGAACGACCTGGCACGAGACACCAAACTGGATTCTTGTGGATGACAAGGGTCACAAACAAGGTCACAAGGGAGTATGCCTGGGGCAATTAGCGGCGGAGTGTCAGCCAAGTCCTGCTCTAAAGCCATCAGGTTTCGGGGTGATGTAACCGAGTACTTGCCCGGTTCTGTTTCTAGCAAAGACTAAACCAGCGACAACTTTCGCTCAAATTGTCCAACCCTGCTGCGAGAGGGCTGACCCGCAGAAATCGCGCTCGCTGCGCTTTGCTGTGCAGATCCACTTCCTGCTGGCAGAAGAAACTGTGACTACAGCCCAATGTAGCTCCAAGCCAACCTTAGAACACTCCAGGCATTTGCGGATGCCAGCATGACTTCTGCAGGCCCTACAGGGAAACTTCATGTCATGTACACATCTCCCCCAGCGCCGCATACTGACGACATGCACACTGACCACAGGCCAAACCCTGCGTACGCACACCTACTGTGGGGCAAGCACTGTGCCGCAAGTCAGCCTTTAGCCTGTTGCCTCTCATATCACAAGATCAGTCCCTGCATCGGGCGAGCCTTGGCGCATGGAGCCCGACCCGCAGCAGCAGCCTGCTGATGCCAGCTGGAGCATTGTACATAATAGGGATTATATAGGGTAAGGTTATATAGGGGATATCTTGGGATAATGGAAAAGAAAATGGAAGCTACTATTAGAGAATGATTGCTTCATGGATTTGAATCGACTGGGAGCCACCGCATCCAGCGAGCTCTGCTTACTGAAATAGGTGATGGTTCGGCATTCATTCCGGAAGCTGCGATGTACCTCATGAAGGTGAGTGAGGATCCTTGTAGCACAGGCAGACCAACTCCCATTCAAAATCTTGCTAGGCTTGGGGTGTAAGCCTTCTGTTGGGCTCGTGGTGCAAGCTGTTCGGACGGGTGGAAAGCTGAGTGGAGCGAGCCCATGGACAGGGGATGAAGGGAGGTGAGACATAACCCGGCTCCAGGCTACTGCCCAAATGATAACCATTGTCATTATCATTTCCATTATTACTATGATTACTATTCTGACTATTGTTACTACTGCTGTTATAACTAGAAGCTCACCACAAATCGCTTCTTGAAACAGCAGGCTGCTTCGCCTCCTTGTCCAAGCGCCGCCGACGCTTCCGAGGGTGAGCCGCTTGCTCCTTAGCCCAAGATACCCGGGATGGCAAGCACGCGGGGGACCGAGCATCCCCACAGCCCAGAGCCTGCCTCATCCTCTTCCTCGTCTTCTTGTCTCGTCTGCAGCGTGCCAGTCTGGCGCCAGGAAAAAGCGTCGCTCAGGTCAACCAGGTGCAATTTCGAGAACATGCTGGCAAAGATCCCAGCAAGGCTACAAGAATGGAATCCTGGAAGAGCAATTCTTACAGGCGCGCATACATATGGCTGTCACAGCATATCAATGCTGCAACGAGTGGTCAATGTTACAGTCACTTCCTGAAAGCTCCATCCTGTTTTGCCCCTATCCTGAAGCATCCTGAAGCCAGGCCAGTTGAGGTGGAAGGCATTTCATCCCCATTCAATGCCATGATGTAGCTGCATTCCCTACCCATAGAGCCCTCATCCAGAAGTGGCCCACTTCCAAGCCTCACTTTGGTGGACCAGATCCTGGTATTCGGCCAAGGCCTTACACTCAAAATCTCAAAGCAGTTTAGGGTTAGTAGGGAATAAGGATATAGTCCTGGCTGAGCTTTTTTTTAGAAGTTGCACCTCTTAATAGTTTATTTACCTTTCAAGCCCAAAATGAACATCATGACCGACTCAGGATATGTCGTAAGCGAGTATATATAACCCCAATAGTACCCTACATACATCTTTTTGATACTACAGTAGTTTCCATTTTCTTTTCCATTATCCCTATATAACCCCTATATATTCCCTTATAGTAGTTTCCATTTAATTCTCCGTTATCCCTAAATAACCCTATAATAATCTCTATATAATCTGGCCATGAGGCCTTTTCCATTATCCCTATATAATCCCAATATTACACAACCATGGCGTGACTTGGGCTTGAGCCATGGATCAGGAAGCAGGAAAATCAGGAAATAAGAGGTTACCAACAAGATTCATACTTACCATTGTTTGAACCTTGCACAAACTCAATGACCCAAATAATGCATTTTCGTGGTCTTGGCTTGACTCTGCTGGGCGGGGTGGGCGTGATGCGGCCTGGCTCGGTGAAAAGAAGGAACACGAGAAACAATAAAGAACAGTTGTTCAAGCCGCTCCCTCTTAGCGTTATAGCTCGAAAGCAAGCGAGCATGGCTCAGTAGAGGTTTACAGCCTTTGTCATGGCCATTACTCCTCAACCCAAGGATGGCTTGACAATTTTGTTTCATGGACACCGTTGACACAAGCGCTTGGAGATGAGGAGTTGTTGTCTGGAACAGTTCAAGCGCCGCTCGCATGCAGCTCATTTATTCACAGCCTAAACTTTTTGCAAGAAGAGGCACATCATCCAAATCATCATCCTCCTTCACCCTCCAGCGGACGAATCCTTCGGCCTCAGTCAGCATCTTGAGAAGGAGGTGAAGCAAACATGGAGCCTGTCAGTATTCCTGGGTCGCAGGGTTTACGAATGTAATTATCACTTCACATCACAAACGAATTTGGTCACTGCACCCTGAAATACCCCAGCCAAGTTGAACAAGCTGATACGTCCGCCAGTCTTCCATACTCTTGAAGGTCACCACAGTTGCATCGCAGCTTCGTGTCATCTTGTAAACTGAGCACGCTTTGCGTAAAGCGGCTATCAGATGCAATATCGGTTGCAATGTGCAGGTGCGCAAGGGTGTTTGAAATGTTGCCCGTCTGTGTCCCTGCTTACGAATCCAACTATCCTGGTATGCTTGCTTGCACCAGAACAGCCACGCAAAGCGCTCCTGCACATCAAGCTGCCAACAACCGGAACCAAGACCTCCCAAAGCTCCAAAAGCTCGCCTCCATTGGAGACTCAAACCGTCGGGCAAATGCGGCGATGACCTGCAGCAGTGCCAGCAGAACCGACGTGTGTAAAGATCCAGGGTAGGATCTCCA